CATGAAATCAAGTTAAACTTAAACCTGCAAGTGCTCATTCTGTATTGCCTCATCTTATGTTTAGTTTTGTTTTGACATTGAATTACTGCATATTTTCGTTCATTCTATTTCAAAGCGTTTCGTAGGCAACATTTTGCATCTTCTTGTCTAAGCACTTTATTAATGAGGTTCGAAATTTCAGCAATTTTTTTTCTTGTTTGCAGACCTTTGAACGAGTCGTCGTACAGAACATTCTTCATGGGCTTTCGCCAAGTCTGTCAGAGGCGATTTCCTCCATTAAACGATGGCGCTTCGTCCAAACCGCTTTTCCGCATATCGTCCAGTGCTGCGCCGCCTTGTTGTCTGATCTACCCGTGGCAGACGAGCACCGGAAGCTGTCCCCATCGTTGGTCAAAATGCTTTACATCCTGCATTGGATGGTACTGGACTCAGCGGTGGAGTGCGCGGACTCAGATGCAGCTGGCAAAGATGAAAAGGATGTGGAAGAAGTCTTAAATCAGCACTTGTTTCCGCTGTATTGTATTCAGATTTTTGTCTACATGATATGTCCGCTTGCGTTCAAGGTCACAGAGCAGGATATTTCAGACAACATACGATTGGAGGGTGGCCTACCGTTATGGCAGGCGCTATGGGACTTCCGTCAACCGGAAATTTTATGCTTTGTTGCTCCCGTCAAAGCGAAGGTTTCACAGCTGTTGTGTCTTCCGCTGTTGAAGAAGAACCTACAGCCAACATTGGCGTCGAAGAACATTTACCTAGGAGGCACGGAGTCGAGTGCCATCAGCGGCGTTACCAGTGGTGCCACGACGGCGGTCGACAGCGAGCCGCTGAAGCGGCCGAAGAAACAGGACATACCATTGAAAAACGATGCGTTGAAAATGTTGAAGGACGTTCGTACGACAGCTGGCAAGTTGCTGTCGCCGAAAGTCATCCAGAAGATTAGCGGTGACAACGAGGCCCCGAGGCCGACCAGGGATATGAGGTTCATGGAGGATGAACCTCCCGGCGGGATTATTTCCATCTCGGACCGAGCACCCCTCGTTCAGCTGAAGGAGATCTGCGGGGCGTCGTTTTCCAGTACTGAAAGCACTTCTATCCACTCGGTGCTGAATTACGTTTCGTCGGCAATCAACGGCTACAGTAACACGGCTTTCGTGGCGTCGTCACAATGCAATGAACGAAAGCCTCTTTTCTCTGGAACGGAAGGTACAGAACTTATTTTGGTGTTTCGCTATTCAGTATGTAATACTTGAATGTAGAAATAATTTTCTCTGTTTTCTGCGCTGGTTATAAATAGTTTACAGCTTACTTCTATAAACAAACAGTAGTTAATTCGTATAGCAAGCGAGAGACGACACTTTGGTTCAGAACGATCCAAGATGGTACGAATGACTTAAAAGGGTATCATTGATGCTGTATTCATTTCAGGTGCGAATGGTTTAGCATACATTCTGTAAGAGCTCCACTGCCGGCTCCTTCTTCTTCCTGACAGGTGGTTAAAGCTAACTGTTAGCGGTCTCAGCTGGCAGAGTTATAAGAATTAGGAGTATTGCAATATGCATGTTACTGTCTAGAGTGATTATCCGTTCATACAAATATAGACTTAACTTAATTCGCAACGCTCTCTATATCAGTAGGGACACTGGTGTTTCAGCCCAAATTGGCAACGTGGATTTTACCGTATTTGTGCCTGTTCCTCAGTCTACATCAAAGCCACGGCGTAAACTTAAATAGTTAGGTAGCAATGCTGAGTTTACATGTAGATTTAGTATTGATCCAATAGAATCACGATATTACTGACATGGACTGAAACATAAATTAGTTCAGTCCATATCAGTATAGACGGATGCCCAGTTTGGACGGTGACATATATAATGTTCAAGTTTAGCTTTATTACACCATAGCGGCTACACGAAGCATCCGCTTTTCAGGCAAGTGCATTTTCCGCATTTCATGTACAAGAGTACACGTGTAGTATGCATTAAAACCTGCTGTTGATACAACTACAGATACTTCTCTCACTGTTCACTTCTTTACGTCACTCTTCAACATGGTTACTCTGCTTAAGACGAGCATCAGATATATTGAGATTCGTTAATAAGCGATGCAAATGTGAAGTAACGGATTCGCAGAAGATTTTTGCTCCCGCCGAGATGCAGATGAAGTTCGAACGGGTTCCATCATGTAGGTGACATCATTCGTGCAGTATATGTACTTCGTTGTTTAAGATCTTGTGCTACACAACCGAAGTTACAGTGCGTCTCAATCAAGCACGGGGAAATATTTTGAAAGCGCGGTTCACATCAGTTCACGTATGTGTGAGTGATCTGATGCAACGACGTAAAACGGTCAAACCACAGACACTTTGATTCTGAGGCATATCGGAACAGCGAAGAAAGCCTAAAGTATTCTTCAACCTCTCATATATTAGCGGTGAACCTCGTTCAGAATACCAAGACGCTGAATGACAACGTGACTTTGTTGCGTTGTTTCTAAACATACTGTATCGTATGGAAAAATAAGCTTCAGAAGTTTAAGTTTTAAGCTTCAGAAGTTTAAGAAAAATAAGTTTCATCGTTTTCAATCATTGTCGACGAGATCATCGTAAGAATGATGGCCAGGAGTGTGCCGTCGTCCCTTGCAGAATTCAGTGATCTTCTCAGGTGATTCTGTGGAACTCCGTTCAATTAATGCAAAAGTTGCTGACTAATTGTGGAAGACTTCACATCAGCTACTGCAATCGGCATTTGAATCTAGCCGGAAACCCCGTTCTTTAACGTTTGAAATTTATGGTTCGCATCCATAAGTAGGCACTGAAAGTGAGCATTGATCCAAGATCTTCGGTCTCAAAGTGATCGGTGGTACATAGAATAGGAACTTCTCAGATCCTCCAAAGGTGATTCTTGCCGTGTCTACTCATCTATTGATTTCATGGAGTTGGTTCCGGTGCCGAGATCATCTGTCGCAGATAGACGTAGTTTTTTCTTCTGTAGGCCATATTTAACTTGAACTGACAGATAGTGGACATATGGTGTACCAGTACTATTTTTTTAGAAGCAATTT